GATGACATCCTTACCCCACTATTTAGGTAACCCTTCCACAAAATCCATATAAATGTGGCTCCATGCTTGATGAGGAATGGGTAAAGGCTGCAGGAGGCCAGGATACCCTCCACTTTCAGCCTTTATCCTTGCACAAGTGTCATATTTCTTCACCCAATCAGTTACATCCTTCTTGAGTCCTTGCCAGTAAAAAACTCTCTTCATCCTCAAATAGGTTCCTTGTATCCCTGAGTGCCCACCCAGTGCAGTGTTGTGCATTTCAGAGAGGATAAGCTCTCTTAGACCACCACTGTTTCCTATGATCACCTTACCTTGTTGTCTCAATATGTCCCCCACAAGTTCATACTCCTGGTATAAGGTTGGATCAACCATCTTGGCTGCAATGATGGTTTGGTAGAAAGAGTCTTGAGCATAACTATCTGCCACTTGTTGCACCCAGCTCGGGCTTAGGGTTGAAGTACCAAAACAATCCTCATCAATCCCACTCCTGGAAAGGGCATCTGCACCTCTATTTTCAATCCCTTTCTTGTACTGTATCTCATAGGTAAATCCCAATAGCTTAGAAATCCATTTCTGCTGAAAAGGAGATACCACCCTTTGATCTAGTAAATGTTTCAAGGCCTGTTGGTCTGTTTTGATTACAAATTTGTAGCCCATGAGATAGTGCCTCCATTTTTGTATGGCCATACCAATAGCCAAGAACTCTCTCTCTCATATATAGGTAGGCTCTGGTTCTTTGGACTGAGGACTTTGCTCATGTATGCAATAGGCCTCCCCTCTTGCATTAGAATGGCCCCAACACCTGTCCCACTAGCATCTGTTTCCAGGATAAAAGGCTTGGAACAATTTGGTAAAGCTAGTATAAGTGCTTTTATCATTGCCTCTTTGAGCCTCCTAAAGGCTGCTTCTGCTTCTTGATCCCAGTGGAAACCACCCTTCTTCAGTAAGTTTGTGAGTGGTTTGCTAATGATTCCATACCCCTGAATGAACCTCCTATAATACCCTGTCAATCCCAAAAATCCTCTGAGCTGCTTAATGTTAGTTGGGCTGGGCCACTGAATCATTGCAGATATCTTGCTGGGATCAGTGGACACCCCAAATTTGGAAACAATATGGCCTAGGTAGTCAACATGCTCTTGTCCAAACTGGCATTTGCTCTTTTTGGCATATAACTCATTGTCCCTTAGGACCTTTAAAACCTCCTCTAGATGTGAGAGATGTTCATCCCAAGTCCTGCTATAAATTAAGATGTCATCAAAAAACACAGGACAGTCTTCCTCATTTGTTTGTGAAACACCTAGTTCATCAAAGCTTGAAAGGTAGCAGGAGCATTATACAAGCCAAAGGGCATGACTAAGAATTCAAATTGGCCATGATGGGTGTTGAAGGCAGTGAGGTGCCTGTCCTCTGGCCTCATTAGTATTTGGAAGTAGCCTGATTTGAGATCTATCTTTGAGAAAAATTGAGCCCCATGGAGTTCATCTAGCAGTTCATCAATTATAGAAATAGGAAAATCATGCTTGATAGTCAAACTGTTCAAGTACATGTAATCCACACACATTCTCCAAGTAGAGTCTTTCTTTTTCACAAGTAAAATAGGTGATGCAAATGGGCTGTTACTAGGCTGAATGAGACCTGAGTTAAGTAATTCCTCAACAATCTTCTCTATCTCATTTTTCTGGCTGTGTGAAACTCTGTAAGGGTGCTGATGTTTGGGTAGACTAGCTTCCTTGAGGGTAATATAATGCTCCACTCCCCTTATAGGTGGCAGGCCAGGTGGATCATCAAACACATCAGAATAGGATTCCAATCGTAAGGTAACTTCTGGATTTGGTGCATTATCCTCACTAGGCATTTTGATCCAGAACATCTCCTCAATTTGTGAGGGAAAGTCCTGGTGCACCATCTTGAACAAAGTTGCTCCTGAAATTAGTTTGCAGTTAACACCTGTGGTAAGAGCCTGTACCTTTACCTTCTTCCCTTCTACTGTGACAGTGAAAGTCATGTTGTCATAGTCTAGTTCAATAGGAGTGCATGATTTTAACCAGTCTCCTCCCAATATGAGGTCACAACCAACATTGTCTAGTACCCTAGGTGAAAATACAAAGGTATGCCCCTGCATTTTCCATTTGAAGTTGGCCACCTTATTGGAACTGACCATCCTGCTCCCATTAGCCACCCTTACCATAATTGGTTTGGCTCTGGTCATGTTGCAGCCCAACTTCTTTGCTATGGACTCTTGTATGAAGCTGAGGGTACTGCCTGTATCAATGAGAATCTGCAATTTTTCTTTCCCCATGGTCCCACACACCCTCATGGTAGTTACCCCACCTTCTCCAGTGACTGTATGTAGGGTTACTTGTATTTCTTCCATATCACTGTCACTGTGAGGATCTTGCTGGCCATCATAATGTGGTTGGCCATACAATGACTCTTCTTCTTCTGTCATTATGAGATAGAAAATTCTATTTTTGCACCTATGCCCCTTGGAGAAGGTCTCATCACAGTTATAGCATAGGCCTTTCTCCCTCCTTGCTGCCATTTCTGAGGATGTAAGCAGTTTGAAATTTTGTTTGGGTTGGAGTGGGGAGGGGCTTAGGGCTGTCAATTTTCCTTGGTAGTGGGTTGTAAGTCGTGTGTGGTCTGTAGCTCCCTTTTATCTTTTTGGTAAGTGCATCAAGGGTATGCAGCTGCCTCTGGCCCAAATCAATAGTTTGTTGTAGAGTGTTAGGTTCAAACATCTGTATAAATGCCTGCAATTCCTCACTTAGACCACTGATGAAACTAGCAATAAAGTATTCTTCTGAATAACCCTCATTGTTAAGTAACAACATGCATGATCTCAGCTCTTCAAACTTGTCAACATAATCAGAATAAGAACCTGCAAGCTTTAACTTGTTATATTCAGCTATGATTTTTGCCTCCTTCAAATCCTCAAACCTTGCAGATATGATTTCTATAAACTGTGCCCATGTTAGCTCCCCTTGTTTTTGGCTAAAACCTTGAAACCATTGAGCTGCCTTGCCATCAGAATGCATAGCAGCCATTGCAACCCTCTGGGTGTCAGGGATATTGGGAATTAGCTTGAAATATGATTGGCACTTTAAAATCCAGGTCCTAGGATTTGTCCCATCAAACCTAGGAAAATCAATCTTGGGCAAGGGGCTGATAAATGTTTGAGGTGAATTGTTAAGAAATCTGGTAGTGTGATCAAACTGTGAGTTGGATCGCTGTCTCCCAGAGATAAAAGACATATCAGGGTTTCCCAAAATGGATTCAGTGTTAGATGAGCTTGCCTTGCTGAGATTCACTAGCTGCAGTTGAATAGAGGCCATGGTTTTGGTGATCTGTTCGAATTTTCCACTGAAATATGAATTTAACTCATGGATTTTGTCTTGGATTTTCATTTCAGCAGCATCTCTCTTTAGGCTCTCGGTTTGCACTGTTTGATCAAGCTTTTTCTGTGCCTCTTGTAGGTCCTTGAAACGCGTTGCTTCAGCCATGCTTCAAGGGATCGAAGCAGCTCTGAGTACCAATTGTAATGAATTGTACTACTTTTAATGGTGAAGTGAACAATTGTAACAAATAGATAGAAATGAGGGAAATATAGATATAGAGAGAAGGGAGATAAAGAGGAGGAAGATGAGAGTTGGGAAATTTTCACTTGTTTCTCATTACTCAGAAAATGCCATACATATAAGATTCTAACGGGCCCACAAAAATAACAAACTTCCACCCACATTTTCCTTTAACCAACTAAAAGGTAAAAAACATGCTACCAATAATAAAAAGACAAATGGATGGTGTAGATGAAAAATACTAATTATTCTGGCTTGAATCTCCAATCGCCACGTGTCCACCAAGGGTCAAAGGCAAATGCTTGTCTGAAATGAGACCAAAGTCGCTCGCCTCTCCCATTTCATTTTCCCTTTTCTTCTCTACAAACCCTAAAATCAGTTTCCTTTCTTCATTTTCGATCTCCTTTTCTTCACTCTTAACTGATCCATTATCGTCATTCATGACAACTTTGTTGCGGGATTTGGATCGTGTGCTGGTCCGAGTGATCGTTGCGGTGTGCTCTCGTGAAGTAGGAAATGTAATGCTGTAATGGTAGTGTAAATGTGTGTGGGTGATTTTCTTTTGTTGTACTTAGGTGTGTGCTCCAATGTTGAAGTTTGTTTAGTCTCTACTTGTGAGAGTTCTTAGTTTTTTTGTTTTGCCTTTGTATTTTGGTTGTCCTTGAAATAGACTTCAAGCATACCGGTTTCAGTGACGTGTTCACTGTCGAATGCTAGGACTTCTATTCCAGTGTGTTTTAGTTTTTAGTCTATAATACTTCTTCTAGTGCTCCTTCTAGGCGACCTTCATGGTGGATTTTTATGGCTAAGATTACGTATGGTAGACAAATAAGCTACCTTATAACTTATTCGATTAGCTTATAAACTTCTTGTATTTGAATAAACTTCGTTTGGAAGGACGAGTTTTTTTCAAAAACATCGAGTTTATTTCATAAGCTTTTTTAAGTAGCTTTTCAAATAAGTAGTTGAAATTTTTATTTCAATTAACTTATCATATACACTAAATTTTCAGTTATAAAACATAAGCTACAAGCTTAAAGACTAATTTTACCAAACATGCTACTAGTCTTCGGATTTCACACATTCCCTTCTCCTTTTTAAGTATAATATAATATAAAATCCATAATTTCCTAAAAAACAAATAAAAATGGGCAATGCTATATGTACACCCCCTTTTAATAAATTACACAAAGAAAAGTGTTATATGTACACCCCTTTTTTTACACTTGAGGGGTGTACATATAGACACCCCCATAAAAATATATTAATTCAAAATTGACAGCGTGGTGGTCCCACTTCCCTAAAACGCTGGTATTTATGACATTACATAGAGCACTGGTTTCCCCAACCCACCATCCACAATACACGCATTCCTGTCGTAAATCCTGTTGTGTTGTGTTGTGTTGTGTTGTGTTTCTATCAATGGGTTCTTCTTCGGACGAGGAGGGGGAAGAGTACCTGTTCAAGATCGTCATCATCGGCGACTCAGCCGTTGGCAAATCTAACTTGCTCTCTCGCTACGCCAGAAATGAGTTCAGCCTCCACTCCAAAGCTACAATCGGCGTCGAGTTCCAGACCCAAACCCTCGAAATCGACGGCAAGGAAATCAAGGCCCAGATTTGGGACACCGCCGGCCAGGAGAGGTTCCGCGCCGTCACCTCCGCCTATTACCGCGGCGCATTTGGCGCCCTCGTTGTCTATGACATCAGCAGAAGCTCCACTTTCCACAGCATTCCCAGATGGCTCGATGAGCTCAAGAGTATGTATGCCTTTCTTATTTTTCTCTGCTCACTCTCTACTTTACTGTTTTTTTTTTTCCTCAATAAATAATAATAATGCTCGGAATTGGATTTGAAATTGCGTATGAAGTAGTTGTTTTTGGATTGGAAGGGATCGTAAATAAATAAATAAAAAAAAAATGTATGAAGAAGAATGGTCGTATTTTTTTTGGAAGTGATGCTTCTGTCAATAGCCTGGCTCTTTAGGAAATTGAAACCAGATCAGACCTTCATTAGTTTGTGGGATATTCAAATAATTATGACTTGGTAGGCCCGAATTCCCCCTTTTTATTAAGATAGACATGGCCATTTGGCAGGCCGGACCCAACCAGGTGGGTCTCGGGGGCTTAAAAACACTGACCTTGGACCCGATCCTTACCTAGACTCGGGTTTCCCGGGCCAGCCAAGGCCGAAAAAAGCATGACCCTTAATCGGCCCGGTTAAAAGCCGGGCAGAGTCCGTGCCGAGTTCGAGGCCGGGTCGGCGGGCCGGGAGGCCAATGGCCACCTCCATATTAAGATGTCAAAATTGGGCCCAATGTGGTTGTGAATATTCAAGATGAATTTTTTTGTAACTGCGAATTCAGTCAATTGAGACCTTTTGTTTTCATTTTAGAAAAGTCAGTAAGATATGCATACCATGATGCTTACTTGTCGCCAGGGATGATAATAATATGTTATTCTCTTTGAACACATGACAGCTTTGCTGTTACATTAGTATGGAGTCAAGGATTTGTGGACAGGACAAATCCAAATAGTATATATTTGACATAAAACGTTAAAAAAACAATTTCAACAAAGGAAATAATTAAAATGACCCATGTGCAAGGACCAATTTTGCAGATTTTCCTAAAAGCTTTCCAGCCCAAAATCAAATATTCTGCTGCTAACTTCTACAATTTAATGATCTCCACCTACTGAAATAGAAAAAGTAAAGCTCACACACCATTAGAATAAGGAAGTACAAGATTGTTAGAATCAGAAATTTATGAGATCCAGAGATATCTTTGTAAGCAGAATCTCAATTATTGATTTTATTTTGTTAGCTCAATTGGCTTCATATATTCCTCACTAGCCAACTGCTTACCTTTATACGAAATATAGTGAGGGAAATGTCTGTCACATGTGATAATCAACCAATTTGAAAATGGAGTGGTTTTTTTTTTTTTTTTTTTTTTT